TGGAGTATATATATATATACCTAGATGATGGAGTATATATATATTATGCCACTCTTTCTAAACCTTTCACTGCCAAACAAGCTGAACGAGCTATTTAAACTGGTTCAAGTAGTTCTGGCTCAAGCATTTTGCTTTTGTACCTTTGACTAAAAGGAATATTTAGAATTCTAATTTTTTGAATATTATTATTAGTGGTGGGTATTTTAAATAGTTTAATTTTTGATCCTTCGAATTAGAATTATAATTCTTTATTTATTATTAAAAAGTTATTTTTTTCAAGAATTTTAATTCTGTTAATTATTTTAACAACAGTTTTAACAAAATGGTGGACCATTTAAATAGTTTATTTCCTTATATTTATACTAAATTTTGTGTTTGTTCATAAGAACTATAATTATTTCAGATCTTTTAAAATGTTTGTTTTAGTAATATTTTTTTTGTAAATAGTGGACCGTTCAAAATGATCGAAATCAAATTTATTTTCTTGTATTTTTCACTAAAAAGTTTTTAAATAATAATTCGAATTCTTTGATTATTGGTATAAATAGTTTATATTAAATGATGTGCGGCTAACACAACTTCAAAAAGTCAAGTAAAGAAAGTATTTGGTTTCGTCTTCTTTATAATTAATTGACGAAAAATATTAATTATTGTATATCAAAGAAATTTAAGTTTACTTGCAACCGCGAGGCCGCGACTCTACGACTCTCTCTGAGAAAATATGCAAAATTATTTCCTTTTTTAAGCATTTCAGCACACAAATTGAAACGTTTCGCGCATGAAAGTTGAACTGGTTCATGTGAGCCTCTTCGGGCTGAGCAAATAAAGACGATGGAAATGGAAGAAAATTAATTAATTGATTTTTCAGCAAGTTAAGGCATCTTTTTTTGTTTTTATTTCGAATTTGGTGCAAACGTTTCGAGCTTAAGCCGAACTATTTAAGGCATTGTCTTAGCTTTATTTGAATTTTGCAATATCAAATATCAAGTTTTAAGTCCCATTTTGCAGCCCTGGTTAAGTGAGAAAAATGCAAAGAAAAAAAAAAACATAAATAACTGCGCAGTGTTTGTGCCATTTTGGTTGCCACATTTGAATAAAATATGAATAAAACCGAAATGCATTTAGTTGGGCGACGGGGCCAGCAGGCGAAAAGTTGGCAGGTGTACACATACATATATATATATATATATATATATATAGACAGCTTTGGGCGTGCAAAAGGGCTAAGACCCGCAATTCCCCCCTCCTACTTCACAGAGAACGATTTGCTTCGGCCAGTTTGTCACCTTTTTCGCTTTTGAAAAGGTCTTACGATGAGGCCTGGCGTTGTGTATGCACTCTCTCCCTCTTCCTCTCTCCCTTTGACTGTCGCTGTCTGCCCCTCTCACTCTAGCTTTGCCTCCTCCTCCTCACATACAGATACGATAATATTTGCATTCAGTTGTGCCGTCATCCTTGTTGCAGTAGCTGCTGCTGCTTCTTCTATTTTTATTTTGTCGTCAAAACGTCGTCGTCGTCGTCGTCGTCGTCGTCGTCCTGGTTGTGTCCTGTTTGTCCTGCCTGTTCCCGTCTGGAGTTCGTTCCGGCGCAGCGTTCGCTTGGCTTAATTTTGGTCTTGGGAAAAGTGCATAAAAAATCTGCGGCGAATTTGCAATTTGAATTCGACTCCCATACCCCTGCCAGCGCCTGGCCCTACTCAGCCATTTTGTCTGCTGTATGTGTCGCCTTTATTGGGCCCCGGAACATGAATTGAGCTCGGGTCTGGTCTCTGGTCTGTGGTCTCCGGTTGGCTCCTCCGTTTCTGCAGCGTCTTGACAGCCAGTCAGGCGGCTATTTAGGAAGTAATTTTCGCGCTTTCATCGCAACTTTTTTCCCTCCTGCACTGTCTGTCTGTTTCTCTGTCCGTTTGTCTGTTTGTCTGCCAGTCTTTTAGTCTGTCTCTCTGTGGCTGCATTTGGGGCACGTTATTCACGTTAGCCCGTTATTTTAGCTGCCTTCTTGCCGCTCACTGCACGCGCCTTTAATGCATTTTTTAAAAAGCCAAATGCGCAAATTGAATGCGCCTCGTGCCGACATTGCTGCGGTAGCCTGGCGTACGACGCACGTGCTCCGACCAGGACATTCCAGTTTTGGCCGCACAACGACACGCAGGCATAATTTTTGTCGCTGCACTCAGGCCTAATGAATATTTCAACAGTCATATACTCTCGTCCATGCATAAATATATAATACACATTGCCATACTCGGGCATATATATGTATATAATATATATATAGAGTATATATGCCCCAACGCTGTGCCCTCCAACCCTCTCACAAACTGTATCATCAGTTAAATGTCAAGCTAAATGAGCATCCAAATGTCGTCAGGTTTTCTACATTTTTCCCCACCAAAAAAAAAAAAAAAAAAAAAAGGCAACTGCTTGGCTTTCAAACGTCAACAAAAACGGATTATAAATTAATTTGGAATGTGACGCAGTGACACGAAAACTCGCTGCGAAATTACCTATAGATATTACACAAAAATATACATTTTTGCCCAAAAAATGCTTGAATAGCATCAGCCACTGCTTCGAGTCTGCCTGTCCGGTTGACTGCTTTTATACCTCTCGTATCTGAGGCTATTGTAACATAGCTTCGCATACGATTCACAATTCCTACACAATTCCTTCTACTTAAATTAATATAGCAAGACTGTGAAAATGATTTAACTACAGTAAAAGCCTCCATTTCAAGCGAACAGAAACAACACAAGACATCTACTCAATTTTTAGTTAGGCTTTTTACCAATTGTGATGCATATTTAAAAAAGTGTAAGCAAAGCCAATTCTAATTAATAAAATAGAATAAAAAACAATAATAAAATGAATAAATAATCAAATTAAATGTGCTTTAAATAAAAATAACATAATCATCCAATTCGCTGTGCCGCATTTCTGTTTTTATTTTTTTATTTATTTTTTGGTTAATGGAAACTGGAGATAAAAACTCTTGGAAATGGTTTAACTTGCGATATGAACATACGTTTGCTTAGATTGAAACGTTTAATCAGCCCCTTGTAGCAGTCCTTAGATGGACCATCAGCTTCTAGGTGTTGCCATGTTAGCATATCAAGTATTTTCTCATTGCTTGGCGCAATCTTCTAATTAAAATTGCACCTCATGCCAGAGCTAACCTCTGGTGCGCTCATCACAACTGACCCAAAATGAACTCTTTCGGCGCCAAGCCAAGTCCCCACTCGAACAGCGTAACCCTCAGCAGCACGACTCCCTGCCGCTCCCATCAAGCAACACCCCAAGCGACAAGGCAACCACAATTTAATCTCTGTGGCATTATGTACCCCCTGTTACCCCCTTCAAATCCACAATGCCCAGACCAACCAAGCTCTGAGATCTTTCTCGTACGCCCCCTCCAGTCCACCCATCTCTAGTGCTCCCCTGCTTCTATTTTTTCGTCTCCTTTGTATTTGTTAATAAACTCCCTGGCAGACTAAATTCAAATTACGCACACATCTTAAGACATAGACGTAGGCAACGACGTCGGCAGCGACGCTGGCAGCGCCAGCCATTTCGCTTATGGGCGGCTCATTATGTCAGGTCTATATTCATATACGACACAGCCCCAACCAAAACCTAGCCCACACCCACCCACATTCCCAATTGCCGCATGCGTGAGTGCGTTTCGAGAAGCTGGCACAAGCTCCAACTGAAGCTCCATTGAACGACTCCGCCTTTTGACTTGGCTTGTCGTAACATTTCATCTTTATTTTGGCATTATTCCCATGGCGCCGCTTATTGTTTTTCGTGAAAATGGCAACGGCAATGGCAACAAATTAGAAGCGTGCCCAACGCCCGAAACGAACGCAACAGCCAACAGCCAGTTGGCCAGGTCTAATTGGATAGAAGACATAGTTCTAAGGCATTTCTTGAGTGCCGTGCAGCATGCACCACACATTGTCAATCCCAATTGATCAATGGACTTGACTTTCGATTGAGCTTATAAAATATCTGAACTAAACTAAAACCATACGAAATGTACTTACCTGTGACAATAATCCTTTAGCTTCGTAGACTGCTTGGCGACATTTTCCTGTCCAAAACGGATTTAATTAAAATTCATCCAAAGTAAAGCAATTATCTGCAAATATTGTTAGAGAATAATAATTATTTATTTTATACAGCTTATCAAATCAAATCCAAACTACTTCAAATCATTTTTAAATAAATTCTTCTTTTTTTTTTTTTAAATATATAAAACCTTCAAAAATTCAAAATATTGGAATCACTTTGGATACAGAAAATTTCAAATTAAAAAGCTTTATATGTATTTTAAATAGGGAAATCAAAATTGTAAATTCAAAATTTATGTAAGATTATTTTTAGCCTAAAACATTAAGCAGAAATTGCATAATATTTTGGTTCAATAATATTTTTATTAAACTTAGCAAATATTCATACCAAAACGAAGTGGATTTTATTTAGCTTTGACCACAACCAGGTTAGACACCAACAAAACGAAGCACAAGGTCATTGATAAATGGTTTTTGACTCAGCTAAAAGAGTGTTAGAAAGTTATTTTGAGATATTGAAGCGTGATACAACAAAAACACAAAACACGTGCGAATACAAATGCAACTCTGTTTGTTTGGTTTGTGACACAGGTAAACATAGTCAACAGAACAGTGTTGCACAGTCTTACAAAGTATTTATGTGCATATTCAATTCTTTACTACCCTAAGAGTCTGCTATTTCACATATATATATATATATATATATATATATATAGTGTTTTTTATACATACATTGTAAATATTAATTTAGCAAATTACGTTATCAAAACTTATAGAATTATGCACCAGTGACAACCAGCTAAAAAAAAACAACAAAACAGTGTTGCACAGCAGACAAATTCCGATTCGCGTTGCCAAATTGTCAACTTTGGCAACACTAAACGCTTTGGTATGCTTCTTTTTTCAAATTAAATATTCGGTATTTTCAAAATGTGAGACTACGACAACACAAATTTTATTAGTATTAATAACATAACCTCTTTATGCGATACTTACAGAAAATGCAGTCGAAATCCATTGTATTCACAAGGTTTTCTTTAGCTCACATTTAAAATATTTCCTTTTTTACATCGCTTCCTTATTTTGTTTATTATTGTTTGCAACGTAGTCAAAGGATTCAGCTTTATATAAATTCATCATAAAACAGTTGAAAGTTGATTAACAGTTTCCAATTTTGCCCGTTTTTTTTGTTTTAGTATTGTTTTCCACACTTTTTCCTTTATGTTCATTTGGTATATCCTGCAACCTTTCTTTTACTTTAACATTGTCCATGCAACAATATTTGAACTAACGTTTTAGAAATTTTTCAATTATGTTCAGGCTAGTTTTAAGAGATTTACAAAGAGATCTCCCTGCCCCTCTCTCTCTCTTTTGATAAACTCTGCTAAATGTGTTCGTGTATTGTCAAGGATAAACGAATGAATTGTTGCCTGCTACTTTTTGAGGCTCCATGCATTGTTGCTGGGCACGGGCACGCGACGTTGCCCGGATTCGCGTGCCAGCACCTCCATGATGCTAGTGGCTGGGAGCCAGCACTAAATAGGGTATATGACAGTCGGTTAGAATTGATTATTAGCAAATAAATTACACTTTACTCACCCGCTCCTTGTGCGCTGTGGCAACCACATTGCGATTTGGCTCCTTGTCGTAGGAAACAGACTCCACGCCAAAAACTTCGCATAGCTCATGCACCAATTGACGCTTCTCACGATTCATGGTGGGAAACGAGTGACTTCTCGACTTTTGTTTGCTCTCCTTGGCCAGCTTGACCAGATCGGTGAGGGTTTCATAGACGCTCTTTGTCAGCGCCGGATTGCGTTTGGCAAAGCCGCGCAAGAATTCCGAGTACTTTGTCAGCGACTTGAGCTGCGTCTCCGGATTACGCGACTGCAAGCCAATAGCCAAGCGACGATTACGCTCCAACAGACGGCACTCATCATTGCAGTTCAAGCTAAAATAAATGTCAAAAATTAAATATATCAATTTGAGTTTTACACTCCTTTCCAGCGACCTTTTCGATCCTATTTCAACTATTTTTCACTCACAATAGTGGAAATCAATGGGCATACGGATTTAAATACAGGGCATGGTAAATTACAGTTTTAATTTCTTGGGATGTTAAGTTATAAAAGTTATTAGTTTTGTTTCTTAGTTTCCACTAATCGAACTGAAAACCCTTTACTAACTACAGTAAAAATGTCTGGTCTCTGGTTAAGGTTTGGAGAGTTTCAACAGGTTTCGGTTAGTCGGAAAAACCTTATACATAGGTATATAGATTAGCTGGTTCTGTGGGTTTGTTGTTTGTCTACTCACGTTTTGTTGGATTTATTGTTCTTGTTGGGCGCCAGTATCTCGCTGAGTTCCATGTAGTTGCCGCGCGACATTTCCGCCATGGAGGAGGCCAGCTGTGCGGTGGCAATGCGACTGTGCTCCCGTGCCAGCTCCTGGCAGCTGCGGCTTTGCTTACGATTGCCGCACTCGCACTGCACCTCGACCAGCTCCTTGCAGGGCGTTTCAGGACAGACGCCCTCATGGCATATGGCCGCGCACTTGTGGCCGCACAATAGACGCGGCTTGGTGCAGCTCTGGCGGCACAGCTCGCCCGGCTGCTGGCATTCGCCCTCATGACAGGGCCGTATGCATTTGTGGCGACCGCAGGCGAGCGGCTTGCCGCAGGCTAGGCCACAACTAAAGCTGGCCTGGGAGCAGGGTATGGTCTTGCGCTGTTCGTGATTGCCATGACACCACTTGGTGGTGAACATCATGCAGGGCGGGCAGCTAGCCGCCGCATGGCAATTATGCTGTGGTGGATGCTCGCAGCCGTGCGTCCGCGAACAGGGTCGCTTGCAGATGGGCTTCTTGGTGCCGCATGGCACCGGCGGATAGATGACCTCGGCGCCGCACTCACAGTACAGCTCCTCGAAGCTGCTGCGATAGCAGGGCGGGCAATTGCCACGATGACAGGGCTGATCGCATTTATGCCGGCCACAGCTGAGCGTGCGATTGCAGGGCAACGGGCAGGCGTGATCGATATCGATGCAGCACTCGGCATTGCACTTGTGCTTGCCACAGCTGCGCTTCTTGGTGCAGCGTCGCTTGCAGCGCGCATCGTCCGCACGGGTAGACAATTGGCGGCATTTGATCATCTGATCCATGTGGCCGCAACGGCACTTGACCGCCGTTTGCTTGGGGCACGGCGGGCACTGGCCCAGGTGGCATTTGCTGGCGCATTGATGCGGATGCGCGGGTTTGCCGCACCGCAGCGTTTTGCCGCAGACGCCCTCGCAGGTGGGCACCGGATCCAGGCAACTGGCGCGCTGCGTTGCCGGCACCGGCAGTTTGCCGCATGGGCAGCTGGTGATTTGTGTGGGACTCAGCTTGCAGGGACGACAAGCGCCGGCGTGGCATGAATCCTTGCATTTATGATTGCCGCAGGGCAGCGGCTTGCTGCAGCACTCTTTGCACGAATAGCTGCGCTTATCCTGGCTCTCGCGGGTGCACTGCACCTCGCGCTGCTGCTTGCCGCAATGGCAATGCTGCTGCACTTGCTCCGCGCACGCCTCACACTTGCCCGCATGGCACGGCTGCTGGCAACGATGCTCGCCGCAGTTGAGCAGCTTGTCGCAAATGGCCTCACACTGCAGCGGCTGCTTCATGGCGCACTGCATCAGCTTGGAGGTGCGTCCGCAGCCGCAGCTGCGACTGACATTCGCCTGGCATGGCGGACACGGACCGGGATGGCAGAGCAGCGTGCACGCATGGCTGCAGCCCTCGACACGGCAGCACAGCTCACCGCAGCTGTGGGCTAGTTCGGTGCGCGTCAACGGTGGATTCTTGAGTTTGCCACAGAAGCACAGATATTCGCGCGGCAGCTCCTCCAGCACATTCTGGCAGGCGGGGCAACGCCAGCCCTCGGCGGATTTCGAGCTGCTGGCCCAGGTGATGGTGCACTTGAGGTGCAGCACATGATAACAATTCTGGCACGACCAGGTGCCATGATGCGCCTTAATCAACTCCACACAGACCAGGCACTCCAGACGCCGCTGCTCAATGTCGCGCATTAGCTTTTCACGCTGCGACAGCTTTTCATGATCGGGCGCACGTCTCGGTGAGATTTGTTGCTGCTGGTGCAGCTGCTGTTGCGACGGCTGCTTCTCTGGCGAGGGCTGTGCGCTGTCATTGCTGTTGCTTGTGTCCAGCTCCTCGGTGGCGCGTGGATAGCCATTGATGCGATCCCGATTGCGATTCCAATCGTCGCGTCGCTTATTGCTGCGATGATTGTCGTAGCGCTGTTGCTTCTGCGGTTTCTTGCCGCGCTCATAGCGCTCCTCATTGCGATCCTCGCGGTAGTCGTTGCGTCGCTGTTGGCGACTATTGTTGCCGCTGCCATGCGGCTTCGGCTGCCTCTGGTCGGCTCTTTGTGACAGCAGCTGCGGCTGCGGCTGCGAGTGCTGTGATGAATTGCTGCCTGCTGCTGCTGCATTTGGCTGTGTGGCAGTGTTGTTGTTGTTGTTATGATTTTTGCTAGACGCCGACGCTGACGGCGACGTCAGACTGAGTTTGGCAAAATTGGGCACAAATTCGGGCGCTGTGGCCTGCAGCTTGGAAGTGCTGAAATCGTAGCCAACGCCAGCGGCAGCAAACGGATTATTTCCAAAGGGTGTATAAAGATTGGGATAAGCAGCGGCTGCGGCTCCGGCTGCATTATAACTGTTGCCACTTGCGGCGCCATCGCCATTTTGAGAGGCATAAAACGTTGGCGCATACAACTGTAAATTTTGAGGCGAATATTCACATAAATATATAACTGTAAAATTGTAGCATGCACTTACATTGTCGCCGCCGCCGCCGCCGCCACCGACAAAATTGCTGCTGGCGCTAACGCTGGGCGTCAGGCCAAAGGCGCCGCCGCCACCGCCAATGCTGTAGCCCAGACTGGAGCTGGCCAGGTTGTGTTGTGTGATAAATTGATTGAAATTCACATAGTTATTGTTGTTGTTGTGCCCATTCGCTGTGGCTGAGCCGTCTGCAGCAGGCGCTGCGTCAGCACCGTTCGTTACCAGCTGCTGCTGCTGCTGCTGTTGCTGTTGCTGCCAATACTCGGCCATGGCGTACGCTTGGCAGCGTGCTTTTTTTCGCTCCTCTTTTTTCGCTTTGCCCACGCTGGCGAAAAGTGGATCCGAGTTTTTGTGTGTTCCTTGTTGCTGCGCCTGCAAGCAAACGCAAAGTGTATGTTTAGCAATGTGCACCAACAGTTTCAAATATTTAATTTCACAATTAATTGTAACATTTACACGAATTTTGTTAAATTGCTTCGCTCGAAATTGGAAAAAAAAAAACAACAACTAAAGACACACTGGTATGCGCGTGTGTGCAAATGTGACAACTAGATATGTGGCGTGTGTGCGTGTGTGTTGCTGACGTGCACTGTTACCTTTCTACAGGTATCGAGACAATGTAACGAGCTGTTCACTGTTAAGTGTGGAGCAAAGTTGCTTAACTGGGCGAGTGCGGTCTGTTAACAGGTGGAGCGGGCTCGTTGGAAACAACAGTTTGTTTTGCTTGACTGTAAACCGGCATAGATTATGTTAAATGGCGTGCTAACAACAGTATGGCAACGCTGCGCAGCAATTTATCGCCAATCGATATTAACAATCGTTTATTTGACCATTTTTCTGGCGCGATATTTGAAATTGTTGATATTTTACATGTTATATGTAGTTTTATTACAAGAGATGAGCAGCACAAGAATCTAAATATCCTTCGTGTATAAATAGATGGCCACAATCATGCCATATAGTCCCAGCACCTCAGAGAATATCAATATCAAAATCATGCCAATGAATAGACGTGGTTGCTGCGCCGTATTGCGCACACCGACATCGCCTACAACTCCAATCGCATACCCAGAGGCCAAACCGCACATGCCCACTGATAGACCGGCCGCCAGATGCACATAACCCTTGGCCACCGGATAAGTTGCGGCGGTATTCAGTGTACCAGAAATTAGCACCGATACGACCAGTCCATAGATGGCTATGATTCCCGCCATAACAACGGGAATTATCGATTTCATGATCAGCTCCGGACGCATAACTGCCGTGGCGGCAATTCCCGTGCCAGAGACAGCTGTGCCATATGCGGAACCAATCGATGAGAATACAATGGCAGCGACCACGCCCATTATGCCATAGAATGGCCCGTAATCCGGATACAAGATAAGTTCTCTGACCGCAGTCTGATAATCCTGATAGTCAGAGTCCTTATAGCGTTGGCTCCGTTGCTCAGCCATTATTATTGTTTCATTTTCCATATTCATTGCTTTATTTTATTTTTATGAAATTTGTTTTTCATTAAACTTAAATCACATGCAAACGCAAAAGGCAACTATATAGACTATATAGACTTATTTGTTAATCTTGATACTATGATTATATTTACAAAGTCTGCCCAGTTTTTGACTTTCTCAGTGACTGTGACTTTGATTTGAGCCGCGACAAGTAGCAGAGATTAAACGAGAATCAACCAAAATAATAAACATAAAATTGTTTCAAGTTTTTCTTTTTCTAAGTTTCTAATTTAAATATCCAATTATTTGCGAAAAATGCTTTAAAACTTTGCTAAGGAATAACTAAAATAAAGATATATATGTTTCTACAATCCACATAGATTTTTATGCTAGTTTTTTTGACTCTTAAGATGAAAGCTTAAATTAAGTGTGAAAGAAAATTCCGAGAGAATTCTACAAAAAAAAAATGCGCAACAGATCAAATTCTTAATTTTCCTTTTTGTATATCCCGAATTGGTTTGATTTAGGCGAATTTTTTGAGAATTATTTTTAGTTTTAAATATATAAATAAAAATATTATTTCATACCCTTATAGACAATGGCTCGCAATTGATCAGTCACCCTTTTCCTCCATACGAATCGATGGCAGCTTAGAAAGTTCTCAAATTGCTGAGCAGCGTTTGCTGAGCCGGCGGAAATGCAGCGGATGCAGCGGTTGCAACGGTTGCAGCGGTTGCAGCGGCAGCAAATGTTGGCGGGGGCATGACAAAACTGGGAGCTGTGCCCAGGGCCAATGTGTGCTGCTGCTGCTTGGGCGGCACCGGAAATGCCTGAGCGCCGTCTAACGGTCTATACTGGCATTTCTTGGCATGGGTGCGCATATTGCTCGACTGGGTGAAGGCCTGATTGCAATTGGGATGCGGACAGACATAGGGCTTGCAGCCCGTATGATAATTGAGATGCGTCTTCAGGTGATGCTTCTTGGTGAAGGCCTTCGGGCACAGCGGACAGCTGAAGGGCTTAATGCCCGAGTGCAGGCGATGATGGAGTGTCATGTTGCTGCGATCCGCAAAGGACTTGCCACAGACGGAGCACTGATACGGCTTCTCGCCGCTGTGGGTGCGCATGTGCTGCTTGAGCAGCATTTTACGGGAGAATCGTTTGCCGCATTCGGCGCACTTGTGCGGCTTGACGCCCGTATGGATGCGTACGTGCATATTGAAGGCGACACGCTGATTGAAGGATTTGGGGCAATAGGGGCATTCGTATTCCTTGCGATTCCGATGGATTTTCATGTGACTGCTCAGGTAGCCCTTGTCGTTGAACGTCTTGCCACATTCCGGGCACTCGGCCGCAAACTCTTTGGTGCCGCGATGCACGGATAAATGATATTTATAGTTACGCAGCTGGGAGAAGCCTTTGCCACAGTCGGAGCATTCGTAGCGCGGTGATTTGTGTGTCTTCTCGTGTGCCTGCAAAATGTGCGAGAGAGAAGCAGAAGGTGAGCGGGTGTCTGTTTATGAGTATGTGCTGCTCATTGGCTTGGCGGCCATTTTGTTCAACTGTTCAACTCAATTGCGCGCTCTCTCTCTAACGTGTATGCATATGCGTGCGTGTGTGTGTGCTGCTCTCTCTCCCTCTCTCTTTGACTTAGCTGCACCCATGCGTAAAACCAGTTCTCAGTTTTTCTCGTACTTCTTGCCTTCTCTTCGCTTCTGTTTTGGGCGCCACCATTTTAACGATCTTTACAGATTTGCATAGACAGTTCAGTTGCCCACCTCCCCCTCCTTTGATAAACCTGTTGCTGTGCTCTTCGCTCCGCCTTTGCCTTAGACTCCGCCCCATTTGCTACCTTGCGTTATTCCGCTTTTAAACGCGTTCACATTGAAACTTGTTGAACATGTTTAAAAAATTCAAGAAGATGCCTTTAGTTGCCTCTCGAAGGTTTTTAATATTTACTTATATTAATACCATTTTTTTAGATACGCTCGAATAATCAATTTATAACTGGAACATTTCCTTGTATTCAATTAATCAATTTTCCACATTCATTTGTAGTTTGGAAAAACAATAAATTAAAATAAATTTTAAATAATAAGCTTGGCTTCAGGATTTTCAAATATCTTTTTAGTAAAGATCAACCGATTTCAATGGAAAGAGAATAGATATACCAAAAATTAAATCCTTTCAATATTATAAGTCAAATAATTTATTATTATTTAAAAAAAGCTAATAATAAGCTAAATTTATTATTATTAGGAAGAATGTGAAGACGATTTTCAGAAATTTTTCGAATTTAAGAATTCAGGAAAATAAAAAAGACTTCAACGCGAATAATTCATAAAAAATACATATTAAGCGCGTGGGATAAACTTTTGCGTGTTGAAAGCTTTGAAAAACATGTTTACGGTTTCCTAAGAAATTAATAAAAAAAAATTTAATTCGTTGTTAAAGAACCTAAATCTGTTAAAATCAAAAATGTATATAACAAATACATTTAAAAAATTATGAAAGTCAGATTAAGAGCTATTCCCATCAGAGAGGGCGAGCTACCAGTGAGGCGAATCATTCAAATCCCTTACAACAAATATGCCTTCATTTTAAATATCCCATCAGTGTAAATGAGCATCAATGTAAATACAAGCTTAAAAAACATTGCAACTATACCCATTTCTCACAGTCTTTCCCTTGGTAGAGATCAGAGGGTGCTGATCGATTTCACAAAAAGAAACAATCTTTCTGCCTGATTTTCACACTGCGATTTCTTCACTTTCTCCGCTCACACAACTCACCTGCAGCGTTTCGGAGCATCCGAAGACCTTGTCGCAGATGCGACACTTGTAGCTGATCTCCTCGGCGGCGCAACTGTTTCCGCCAACGCCGCCGGTGGCATTCAACTTGGGCAACATGGTCAGGGACGTCGTCGAGGCAGTTGTTGTGGCTGTGCTCAGATGCAGATTGGTCACCGTGGTTAATGAAATGTTGGTGGTGTTGCTGGTGATGTTGTTGTTGGTGGTGGTGCTGCTGCTGCTGCTGCTGGCGGCGCTGAGCAGCAGATCACGTGCCGCTGGCCTGCAGCTGCTCGAGCTGCTCACCGAAGAAGCCGCCGGCGATAACAAAGGTGGCGTCGGCTTGTAGCCGCCAACAAATTGTTTGTAGTAGTCGAGGCATTCCAGGCAATCGGCGCGTGAACAGGCGTTGGATGCACTCGATCTGGGACTCTGCCTATTTATTATATAGGGCGCAAAGTAACGCTTGTGCTGCTGCTGCTGCAGCTGTGATGGTTGTTGTTGTTGCTGTTGGGTTTGCTGATATGGCGATGTGGGCGGCGTGGTCAGACCGGCGGCAGCTGCAGCCGCTGCATAGGCGGGCAGCAAATGTGGAAAGAATTGCGCATAGAATTTGGTTGCACTGGCCATGGCCAGCAAATCCGGCGGCAGCATGGCATAGCCGCCGGCCACATAAGCGGCCGGCTGGAGCTGAACGGGCCCAAGATTGAGAGCTGCCACTGGAACAGTTGGAGCAGCAGCAGCAGCTGGGGAAACAGCTGTGGCCGCCTGTTGACGACTCTTGGAGAGATCCAGTATGTTGCATGCACTGGCTGTTGATTTCTTGACGCGATTAGCCTGATCCTTGCTCAGTATGCGATTAATGCTAAAGTCTGTGACCTGCGGCGGTGGCGGCGCCGGTAGCTGGGGGCCAGGGCCAGGTGAGGCGGCCAGCTCGTAGCTGCGCTGCAGCATCGCATGCTTAAAGCCCATTGCGTTTGAGGGTACGTTCATAGACAGACACCTGTACCGTGTGCCGTGTGCGGTGTGCGTTGTGCCGTGTGGACAACTGTCGCGCTACGCGTCGCAATACGAAATGTGCGGCTACAAATGCTGACAACGGCCGACAACGTCTTTTGGCCCGGTCGAGATTGAAGCTGCTGTTCGCTCTCGCTCTAGCTGTCGTTCTCTCTCTCCTGGCATTTAATTGGTCAGGAAACGGGTTTAGAGCCGCGCTCCAACAAACGCTTGCAGCGAAGCCAATTAACCAGCCCTGGCTGCCCGTTGCGCCTCCAATTATGCGCGCTGCCCCAGAACTGGCTGCCCGAGAACTATTTGGTAGTAGCATTTAACTAGTC